CAGCGTGGTGGAGGAGAACCCTGCCCTCACCTTCACGCTGGGGGACTGCGACGTCTTGCAGGTCAGGGCTGGGAGGAAGCTTTCCTGGCTTTATCGCTGCCTTGTTTTCGCCCTGCAGAGCAGGACCTCGCCTCGGGGGGCACGGGGAGGGTTTGGGGTCGGTGACATCCCCGTTTGCGGGTCCGAAGCAGCCCCTCTGCCCTCACTAACCCTCGATAACACTCCCTCCCCATCACGTTGTTCTCTGCAGGCTCTGGACCTGTGTGTGCAGCTCCTGGAAATGGGGGAGACGGCTTTGATCGTGTCGGATGCAAAGTACTGCTACGGCGCTCAGGGCAGGTGAGCGGAGACGGCGCGGGGTGGAGTAGGATGGCCCCAAACAGGACTGTGAAAGCTGTCCCCTGTGCTCCTGGTGACAGCCCAGCCAGCAAGCCCAGCGTCCTTGGGCAGGGAGACTTGGGTCGCTGGCCACATGCAGGGGATGGCAGCGTGTCATGCCTTGGAGGAATGATCTGCATCGCCTGCTGGCCCGACGAGCTTCCATGGCTCTGATTTCTGGGCTGTGGTGGTAAATCTATGTGGCTGGTGGAACTGGCAGAGGTGGCAACGGTGTCATTGCTTTGTGCCCTTCTGTGTGCAGGAGCCCTGACATCCCACCCAACGCAGCCCTCACCCTGGAGGTGGAGCTGCTGGCGGCCCGGGACGCGCCGGACCTGGAGCTGCTCAGCGGGAAGGAGAAGATCGAGCTGGCCAACCGCAAGCGGGAGCGTGGCAACTTCTTCTACCAGCAGGCAGATTACGTGCTGGCCATCAACTCCTACGACATCGCCCTCAAGATCATCAGCTCCAGCTCAAAAGGTACCTGCTCCACCCCGGGCGAGGGCCGCCTGGGCTCCCTGCCCGCTGTAACCCGGCTCTGGGGTCTTTGCAGTCGACTTCAGCCCGGAGGAGGAGGCTGAGCTGCTGGATGTGAAGGTGAAATGTCTCAACAACCTGGCGGCCTCTCAGCTTAAACTGGACCATTACGAGGCAGCCCTCAAGTCCTGTAACCTCGTCCTGGAGCATCAGCCAGGGAACATCAAGGCTCTCTTCCGAAAGGGCAAGGTGAGGCCAGGCACGCGACAGGCGCTGCCGTCCCTTCTCCACGGCGTGACAGAGGGCAGGACCGAGGGACAGACCTTGGCCATCCCGCTCAATCCACGTCTCGCCTTCCAGGTCCTGGCTCAGCAGGGCGAGTACAGAGAGGCCATCCCCATCTTGAAGGCGGCGTTGAAGCTGGAGCCTTCCAACAAGGTAGGCTGCTGTTGCGTGCCGCCAGCGATCATGCTGAGTGGGGTGTCTGCAGGACGCTCTCCTCTCGTCCGTGTCCCTGCAGACCTCGGTGTGCCCCGTGGAAGGCTGAAGCCCCCCCCGTCGCTGTTCCCAGCTCCCTCCGTGAAGAGAGGCTGGAAGCAGCGCCCGGGACCTGGGCAGCCGCGGGGTCACGCACCACGTGGTGCGGTGTCTG